GGTCGAGTTGTATACGTCCTCCGCTTCATCCGTGACCATCCTCGCGTCGGCCGCGTCGTCCCCCACGCGCTGTCTCTTGCGGCTCGCGTGCGGGCAGTCCCTGGCGAAGCGGCCTCGACCTCCGCATCGTAGGCAGATCGTTTCTTCTGTAGCTCTGATGAGTGGTGGATGTGGTGGCTGACCTCGTCCAGGTGAACCTCGGCCGTAGCCGCTGGTGCGCGCATTCTTGCCACGTCCCTTGCTTGTGCCTTTCCCAGTCGCCTTGCCTCTTGATGTGCCGCGTGCCGCGCCTCGTCCTCGAGCCTGGCCGGCCCTGGGAACGATGGCCGTTGAGCTTCTCTGTGGTGGCGGCACCATCGCGACAACTGGGTAGAAACCTCTCGCCAACCTCATGTCGTTCATCTTCTGCCTCGCGTCCGTGTAGGCTGCCATAATCTCGTCGTACTGATCCACATCATGCGACTGGTCCGGCATGGGGGTGCCACTCATGGTGGTCGTCTCGCTGTAGTAGGCCGCCTCTGAGTCGAAGCTGGGCCCTGCGTACACTTGTTGGTCCTCTGCAGCTTCCTCGTAGTACTCGTCTTCCTCGTATCCGTAGTAGGCCTCTTCCTGGAACTCGCCATCGTCGTCGTAGTCGTCCAGGTTGTACGCCGCCGTTCCCGAGCTCGGTCTGTAACTTGGAAATGAGTCCAGGCCGAACGTCTTCTTCATCTCGCTCTCGACCTTGTCCAGCGACAGGTTGTCGCCGACCTGGCTCGTGATCAGCTGCTTGCCCTCTTTGTCTGAGCCTGCCCGTCGTAACAGGAACCAGCCGAGCACCTTGTCTGGTAACATGACGTCGTGTGCGCGAGCCTTCCGCTCGGCCGTGCGAAACCTCGTGAGGTAATCCATCAGAGTCTCCTTGGGCCTGCGAGCTGAGTTGAAGAAGAACGTCTCGAAATCTGTCGGCAGCTCCGTGATCTGGTCGTATTTGTACGCCCGGTCGAGCGCGTCTAAGATGGTCCCCCATCTTTTTTCCTCCTCGAGCTTCTCAATGTCTAAATCCTCGACCACCTCCCACGCCCGGCCGTTCAGGCTTTGCATGATCTCCAAGCCTACTGTCTTCTCCTGTTCTCGTCCACGAGCCCGTGTTGCGAAGATCTCCACCTTCCGTCGGAAGGTCTTGTACCCGTCGATCGAGCCGTCGAACTCGGGGGTTCGACCCAGGAATCCAGAGGAGATTTGATTTCCATCTCCAGCCGCCGCAGCGCGCCCAAGCGCGCCTCCTGCTGCTGTTCCTCGTCCCCCTTTGCCGTCTGGTGGTGGCATCGTTGAAGTACTTCACTGTGTCCGTGTCCGTGTCCGTGGAGCTACTGCTCCGCTACCAATGTCAACTGTTCAACGCTCCCGAAGTCGTCGAACTACCCTCGAAATCCGTTTCCCGTCCTCGGCCGAAACGTCCTCGACACCGTCCCCGATCACGCTCTGCGGGCGGGGAAGGGTGATGGTAACCTTTTGGTCTGCCGAGAGGCCTCTCGAGCTAAAGATGGCAATGGTGTTTGCTGTCTTGACTGCTGCTCTGCACTGCGTGCTGTACACATGCTCTGCCATGCATGCGGGGGGGAAGGTGGTATATAACATCTTATGTCAGAAATCCTTCCAAACACACTAGCAACTGCATTGTATGGAGTACAATTCACAGGAGGTGGAGGGGCTGGAGGTGGAGGAGGGGGATGATGATGATGATGATGATGATGATGATGATGGTGGTGGTGGTGGTGATGATGATGATGATGATGATGATGATGATGGATGATGAGAGATGATGATGATGATGATGATGATGATGATGATGATGATGATGATGATGATGATGATGATGATGATGATGATGATGATGATGATGAGGAGGAGGAGGAGGAGGAGGAGGAGGAGGAGGAGGAGGAGAAGGGGGACGAGGAGGAGGAGGAGAAGGAGATGGAGGAGGAGGAGGAGGAGGAGGAGGGTTCCCTTCTGAACCCGTTCGGCGTCTGAGCCGGGCCGTCGACCCTCGGGCCTCCAGGGGCCGAGGCCTAGGGCTGCGGGCGCTCGGCGACCGCCTCGTGTGGCCACTCGCGCAGCCAGCTCGCGGACCGCTTGGCGTCCACACCAAGGGCTCCAACGAGGGCGCGAAGTGATTCGCGCTTCGCGGTCCTCGTTCCTTCTCCCCCTCCTCCTCGTCCTCCTTTTCTCCCTTTGGGGGGCGGCGCGAGAGCGCGAAGTTATTCGCGCTTCGCGGAGCGCGAAGCGCGAAGTTGAGAGCCGTAGCATACGCAGCGACGCGATCCAGGCGACCGCTCTCCGTCACCGTGTGCTCGGTATCACCGGCGGTGGTAGGTTGATCCCCACGGACACACTTGACATCATGGTGCGGCTGATCAAGGATGCACGTTGGAAGAGTACGAGCCGAAGCAAGTTGCCGTCACCGCGCAGGTGACCAGAAAGACTAGAAGCTGCATGCAGAATCTTCCACTGCTCAGAGCAGAACCCCTGTCGGTGTCGCTCACTGGCACAGCGGCGTGCCTGCGGAGCCGTGCTGTGTATCAGTGCGGTGTGGCCTTGCGGATTAGAGAGTACGAGCCGACGGAAGCTACGGCCACCCAAGAACCCGAAAGTGACCAGAAAAGCAAGAAGTATTCTGAAGGCCTTCCGGCCGGTGCCGCCGACCCTGAAGGCCAGACCTCCCCCGGGACCCCAGGGCCCCCTCCCGGGAGCCCGGGGCCGGCCCCGGGGGCCAGGGCCGGGGCCGGGGCCGGGGCCAGCTTCTTCCCACAAGGGGTGCCATTCCCTTTCCGTGGCATCGTTCGGTGTGCATTTTTCTTTTGGCGAGGACCATCGAGGAGCATCCTCGATCATTTGGCCAAAAAACCACGCACGAAACCGAAAAAAACACAGGAAATGGACGTCCGAGCGATGGCCAGTTTCCACCCTGTCCACATGTGGGACCACCCCCCGGGACCCTCGGGGGCAGCAATCTGACCCGGGACTCCCACCCCCACCCCCACCCTGGCACCCCCCCTGGTCAGGGAAGGGAAAAAGGAAGGGAATCGACTTAGCTATGACGTTTCTTTTCTTCGTTCGTTCCTCAATTTCCGTGGGACTGACGACGACGACGACGACGAAGACGACGACAGCGTCTCACACACGCCGAGGGGTCGGCGGATTTAGTAGCCTTCGGCCCATCCCGCCCGTGCCTGCGTTGTAGGTCAGAGGCTTCTTAGATACATACCTGTAGAGATCTCGTGGGAGGCCTCTCAGAAGCCTCTTGGAGATGGTTTTGGGGTGCCTTGCGGCCTCACGGGGTTCGCGGGGCCTGCTTTGGGCCTCTGACTCTTGGAGGTCTCCTGGGGCTTCTGTCAGTCCTCTCTTGGGGGGCTTGCTGGCGGTCTCACGGGTCATCTTGGGGCGGAAAGCGCGAAATGTCATTTCGAGTTCCCCCTTTTTGGGGCCGTCTAGGCGCCCTCTTGGGCCTTCTGCGGGCCCTCTTGAGAGCCTTTGGGGCTGTCTTGGGGCGATCCGTTGGGCCTCCTGGGCTGTCTTGGAGCGTCGGAAACCCGAAAAGGCGAGAATGCCGAAATCTTACAAAAACCAATTTTGGCATCCGGGTGCCCTCTTGGGGAGCCCTCTTGGCGTGTCTTGGGGGCCTCTGACCATGTTCGGCGTCTTGAGGCGATCTTCGGGCGACTCGAGGCCTTCTTGGGCCATCGTAGGGGCAATCTCGACGGCAGTCGGCTGCGGTCGTGCCGAAGGTGGGTCGTGCCATCGTTGTAAGCCATGTGCGCCTTTGCCTCCGCGGGCGTACGTGACGCCTCGGGGAAGGGCCTCGTAGCAGTGGCGCGGGCTGCTGCTCCGTGGACCTGCGGGGGTCCAGGGCAAGAGGTGCGGTCTTGACGATCTCCTTCTGCGGCCACCTGTGCGGTCTCCACGTGGACCTCTGGGGGTCCAGGGCCGATCCGTCCGGTCGCCTTCCGCGGCATCCTGAGCGGGCTCCCCGTGGGCCTCTGGGGGCCCACGGGGGAGGGCGCGACGGTGGCGCCTGCCCTCAGCTCCTACACCTCCGAGGTCGTGGGCGTTTCAATATCAGGGCCCCAGACCTCTCGGTCCCTTCCCAGGCGCTGGTCCTGTGGTACGTCAAACACCGCGCGGTGCGTGGAGTAATCTAGGCACATGCAAGGGCAACTGCACCTGAAGCTACAAAACATTGCGTGCGGTACGCTCGAAGTGACACTGAGATTGCCGCGCCAAATGCTGAGCTGCTGACGTGCTACTGGAAATACGCTGGGAAGCGCGCGCCATGTCAACGGTTGATTCCTTGGGGGGCTTGCCACCCCTCGTTGAAGCCGTTGTCAAGGGTGTCAGGGGCCAGTCTTGAGTCCTGGATAATTTCTCAAGCTCCGAAGTCTGGAACGGCCTTCTGGACGCCGAAGATCATGGGAACGGCGGCAGCGTCTTTTGCGACGGCGGCTTCGACGACGACGACGACGTGAACGACGACGACCTTACGCGACGACGACGACGACGACGACCTTACGCGACGACGACGACAGCGGTTGCGGAGACATCACGCAACGATGACGGCGACGACGACGACGACGACGACGATGCTGATGACGACGACGACGACGACGACGACGACGACGGCGGCGGCGGCAGCAATGGCGACGGCGACGGCGACGGCGACGGCGACGCCGACCTCACACGACGACGACGACCTCACGCGACGACTGCGGCGACAGTGGCGGGAACGACGACGTCGACGACGACGACGACGGCAACGACGACGGCGACAACCTCACGCGATGACGACGGCGGCGGTGGCGGCGACGATGACGTCGTCATCGACAACGACGACGACGACGACGACGACCTCACGCGTAGCGACGATGGCGTCGACGACGTCGACGACGACGCCAACGACCTCACGCCGACGACGGCGACGACGGCGGCGGCGACCCCACGGCGACGGCGGCGGCGGTACTCAGGTCGAGAGGGCCGTCGCGAGGCCAGTCGCCCACACGCGGGGGAGGCGCCGACGCGTCGGTCGTCGTCGTCCTCCTCCCCCTCCTCCCTCTCCTCGTCCTTGTCCTCGTCCTCGTTGTCTTCGTCGTCGTCGTCATCGTCTTCCTTCTTCGGCTACACGTGGGAGTGACCTTTCGCCAGAGTAACAGTTGGCGTGGGCACGATGCAGCCACCAGATGGCTGAATGCGATCCGACAGTATCTGGCTGCGCCCTTGGATTCTGCCCCCCGCGCCCCCGTAAAGCCGCGCACTACATGTCACTCTTGCTTAGGATCGCTCTTGCGTGTAGCCGACTTCTCTTCGTCGTCCTCCTCGTTGTCCGTGTCATCGTCGTCGTGCTAGTCGTCCTCGTCCTCGTCTTCGTCCTCGTCGCTGTCCTCGTCATCGTCGGTGTGGTCGTCCTCGTCCTCGTCGTCGTGCTATGTAGTCGCCCTCATCGTTGTCGCCGCCGTCGATCGAGGATCGAGGTTCGAGCATCGCGGCCGATGCGCTGAACGCTTTGCCGCCAGTTTTGGGGGACGCTGGAGGCCCGCAGGGACGTTCGGAACCTCCAGAACCCCCGGAGCCCCCTGAAGCACCCCCGTCGCCTCCCCGCTACCCTGCGTTCTCCCTGGAGGTTTCCTGCTCCTGCCAATCCTGCGCCTCCCTCCTCCTCCTCCTCCTCCTCCTCCTCCTCCTCCTCCTCATATCTCCTCCTCCTCCTCCTCCTCCTCCTCCTCCTCCTATCATCTCTCATCCTCATCCTCATCCTCATCCTCCTCCTCCTCCTCCTCTTCCTCTCCTCCTCCCCTCCTCCTCCTCTCCTCCTCCTCCTCCTCCTCCCCCTCTCCTCCTCCTCCTCTCCTCCTCCTCCTCTCCTCCTCCTCCTCCTCCTCTCCTCCTCCTCCTCCTCCTCCTCCTCCTATCTCCTCCTCCTCCTGCTCCTTCTCCTTCTCCCTCCTCCTCCTTCTCCTCTTCTCCTCCTCCCCTCCCCCTCCTCCTCCTCCTCCTCCTCCTGCTCCTCCTCCTCCTCCTCCTCCTCCTCCTCGTATCTCCTCCTTCTCCTCTTCTTCCTCCTCATCCTCCTCCCTCCTCCGAGCGCTGGAAGTGCTCAGGTAACCAGACAGTGGACGCCGCTGCACGTGCTGTGGCGGAACAGGCGCTTCTATGGTTTTTAGATTTGAATCGCGAAGGCTGTTCATAAGGTGGCTGCTAATGTCCCCCCTCAGTGGTCCGGTCCGGAACTCTCAGAGCTCAGAGTGCCGCTGGATCATCCCAGAGTCGACCCCTAAAATTACGGAGGCGTTTGCCCCGCACGAGTGGGAGTGCCTAACCTCCCCCTTTGGGCACGTCCCCGCGCCTCAGTTTTTGTCGAATGGCATTCGGCCCATCCCGCCACCGTTCCTGGGCTGTGTGCATGAAGCATATTGAATGTTCGGTGGGATCTCATGGGATGCCTCTTGGGGGCCTCTTGGAGGCAGTTTGGAAGACTCTTTGGGGCCGCTTTGGGGCCTCTTGGGGCCTCTCTTGGGCCTCCTGGGGGCCTCTTTGGGCCCTGTGGGGGGCCTCTTCGGAGCCTCTTCGGGGAGCGCCCTGGGGCCCTCTCGGGACCCAGAACGTCGCGCGGCAAGGTGCCCCGGGGAGCACAGGGGGCACGCGGGAGGCCCCAGCAGGTTTCGGAATTTGGGGTCCAGGCCCCTCCTCCTCTGTTCCCCCTCCTCCTCCTCCTCCTCCTCCTCCTCCTCCTCCTCGTCCTCCTCCTCCTCCTCCTCCTCCTCCTCCTCCTCCTCCTCCTCCCTCCTCCTCCTCCTCCTCTGCTGCCCTCCTCCTTCTCCTCCCCCTCCTCCTCCTCCCTCCTCCTCCTCCTCCTTCTCCTCCTTGTCCTCCTCCCCCTCCTCCTCCTCCTCCCTCCTGCTGCTCTCCCCTCCTCTCGCTCCTCCTCCTCCTTGTCCTCCTCCCCCCCCCTCCTCCTCCTCCTCCTCCTCCTCCTCCTCCTCCTCCTCCCTCCTCCTCCTCCTCCTCCTCCTCCTCCTCCTCCTTCTCCTGCTCCTCCTCCTCCTCCTCCTCCCCCTCAGGACTGAAGATTGAGGCTCCAGGGATCAGGCAGTGGACCTGGGGACACGCCAACTCCGTGCCCAGAGGCAGCAAGGGTGCCCTCGAGGGCGCGAAGTTATTCGCGCTTCGCGGTTCGGCTCCGATTCCTCCTCATCCTCCTTTTCTGTCCTGGGAGGCGGCGCGAGAGCGCGAAGTTAGTCGCATTTCGCGCAGCGCGAAGCGCGAGGTTGGGAGCCCTTGAAGATTGAGGCTCCAGGGATCAGGCAATGGACCTGAGGACACGCCAACTCCGTGCCCAGAGGCACGGTGGCGGATGTCATGCGCGGGTGGTGCATTACGTGTCTGCGTGTCAAGAAGGTGCGTCCAACGTATCCACGTCACTGGGCGCAGGCTTATGGACGACCATGGCAACTCAAGTTCCAGTGGCGGTAGCATCGGCGAGGCGAGACACAGCGGACGTTGGCATCCGCGCGCGAACGGTCCGATTGAAGCGGTGGGGGGGAGGCGCAGGAGGAAGACCAGGATATTCGGGGGGAGGGAGTTGAGGACGATGCGGCTGATAATGGTGATCATCTCCATCATCACATTTGGGGGGAGGAGTACGAGCGGGCAGGGCGGAGGAGGACGAGGAGGGGAGCCTCAGCAGCGCCGTGGGCAGGAGCAGAAACGGGAGCAGGAGCGGGAGCAGAGGCGTGAACAGGAGGCAGGCGGGGAGGGAGGACGAGGACGTGGACTCCTCCTCCTCCTCCTCCTCCTCCTCCTCCTCCTCCTCCTCGTCTCGTTTTCCTCCTCCTCCTCCTCCCTCCTCCTCCTCCTCCTCCCTCCTCCTCCTCCTCCTCCTCCTCCTCCTCCTCCTCCTCCTCCTCCTCCTCCTCCTCCTCCTCCTCCTCCTCCCTCCTCCTCGGAGGGGGACGAGCCTGTTTCACCATGTGCTGCGGAAGCCACTGCCTTGAACGAGGGCGCACCGGTACTGGCGGCTTCAAGCGTGTGGCATCAGGCTAACGGCCTTCAGCGTGCTGGCTCGGGCCCAGGGAACGAAACAAGAACGACGAAGAGAGGGACGAGGAGGCGCGGGAAGAGGAGGAGAAGGGGGAGGAGGGGAACGAGGAAGCGTGGGAGGAGTAAGAGGAGGAGGAGGACGAAAGGGAGGAGGAGGAGGAGGAGGAGGAGGAGGAGGAGGAGGAGGAGGAGGAGGAGAAGTGGGTCTCGAGAGTGCAGGGTCGCGCCGATGCCTCTTCATCGGGGCCACTGCATGACATTGATTGGCGAGCGCAGTCAGGGGGAAGGGCAGGACGGGAGGCGGGAGCGCAGCCAAGACGCTGACATCAGGACCATTTTGGATTTGGGAGCGGCTCTGGTCTTCGGGCCCGTCCTTGGATCTGGGTCCGGGGACCTGTTCGTGGCCAAGGCTGACCGTGGCCAGATAATCTGCTGCGTTCCTTTTCTGGCGTTCCCCATGATAGACCCATGACGTTATAATGAAGGAAGCGGGGGGGGAGGGAGGAAGAGGATCGAAGGGTTCTTCCCAAGGGGGAGGGGCCCTGGTAACTGTCTTACTTCCTCCCAGGACCCTGGTTCCCAGAGGGCCCCTGGAGGCTTACAGAGGCCCAGGAGAAGCCAACAAACTCCCTGACACATACCGAGAACACGAGCAAAACCCCCTTCCTCAAGACTCGAGGGTCGAGGGCAACATTTGGCATCCCAGGGGGCGACTCGCTGATCGGCTGGGGTGCTTGTTGACAAGATTTGTTGTTCAAGATATCCCGAGTTGGCGACGAGGGCGCCCTAGGATGCCCCCAAAGCGCGAAAGATGTGCAACACCCCAACACTCTATCACTATCCTCCTCCTCCTCCGAAGACGAGGTGTAACCAATGCTTCCGCCCCAGCTCCCGATGCCTTGAGGGCTCCACAGGCCTCCGGTGGCTTCCAGAGGCCCGACAGATCCAAAAATATTAAAGGTTTCAATGCAACGTATTAGCTTCGAAGCCGAAGTCAAAATTTAGCAGGCGATTCGCTGACCATCGGCTGGAACGAGCTCATCCTTCCCGAGCAGCTCCAGTTCGGCCCCTCGCTTGGATCGGGCGGCTCCGCGCAAGTGTACCGCGGCTCCCTCGGGGGGTAAGCGCAGCGGGGAGCTGACGAGGAAGGCGAGGAGAGATGAGGAGGGGGATGAGCAGGAGTAGCAGAAAGGAGAGAGGCAAGTTTGGTGCACCCGCGCCAGATCTGACACCCTACCTTTAACCCATCCCTCCTCATTGCGCTGATCCCTTTTCCAGCCGACGACTGGGGTGTCCTACAGGACCTTGATCCCCCAAACCCCATCGCACGATGCCGAGAGGGGGGTCTTTGTACATTGGAGGAGGAGGAGGAGGAGGAGGAGGAGGAGGAGGAGGAGGAGGAGGAGGAGGAGGAGCAGGAGCAGGAGGAGGAGGAGGAGGAGGAGGAGGAAGAGCAGGAGGAGGAGGAGCAGGAGCAGGAGCAGGAGCAGGAGGATAAGCAGGAGGATAAGCAGGAAGACAAGCAGGAGGGTAAAGAGGAGGATCGGGAGCAAGAGCAGGAGGACACGCGGACGGCGGAGGAGTGGAATGGAGTGGAATGGCAACGGCGAGGAAGGCATCGGATCCTGCAATGTGGCCCGCGCTGGAGCGACAGCGCTTGTCTGGACGTCGGGAGCACTGCGCCGACCCTGACACGTTGCCAACGCTGCCGCGGGAACACGGTTTTTGAAAGAGCAAAAATGTGTCTATCTGAAATGACCCTGACAAGTTTTAATTTCAGCCACGTTCCCATTCCAGCTGGACGTTTTCAGGCCCACGCTACCCGAGATAAAAGGGTCTTTCGGCCCGAGGTGCTTCCGCGTCGAGGCCGCGTCCAGGCTACTAGGGGACCACGTGGATGTCCTCGCGACCGAGGGCCTCGACTCCGAGTTGAGGCCGCGCTGGCGCCGCTTGGCGCCGCTGTGGGGCCTCGCAGCCAGGGCCTCAACATTCCCCCGGCGTGAGTTCGCGAAGTCCTCCTGGAGTTATGGCACGCATGCCCAGGAGGTGGAGACCACGCGCCCCTTCTTCTCATCACGTTCATCTCTTGCCTTTCTCTTTCTGTTGCCGGTAACTTTTCACACGAGATGTTTGTGGTTGGTGGGTTATTTCCAGAGGCAGCGGGTTCATCAATGGCGCCGACTGGCGACGCTATAGGAGCGGACCTGATCGTTGTTCAGCGGCACGTTCACGCTGGGGACTGGACGATGGGCAAGCTACCCTTCGTCGATCTATAGGAGGAATTGTCAAAACGGCCACGGCGGGCCAGGACGAGAAAACTCCAGCATTCCATAAAAAAGGTTATGATCACAACAAACTCCACCGTAAGGGTCGTGGAAACCAGGCAGGACAAGAAAACGGGGGACCGGGGTGGGAGGAGGAGGCACGACTCGCGTTTCAAGATTCACTTCGCCACTTTCGGTCACTTTGACGGCGGCCCTATCCTCTGTTTCGATGGCACTTCCGTCCCCATGGGCTGGATGACAGTCGCTTGCGTTGTGGTTTTGCGTGCGAGTCTGGCGGCCTGCTGATGATTCAGCTCAAGTCCGAGCTAGATGCACCCCGCATTTTCTTATGTCAGGGCTACTACTTTAGAAACCTCGTGCGCACGTGCCAAGATCCGCTTCACGAATTCGCGTCAGATGTGGAACATGCCGAAGGCCACGAAGGGCGGCAAATTCGATGGTGGCGCTGTTGAAGCATCGGGTTGGTATAAGTTGCGGCACAACATCGACGCGTTGGGTGGGGGCATTTGCATTTCCACGCAGCAGGTGATAGCTACCCACTGAATCCCGCACTCGCGGCATGCTTCCCCCAGAGCCAGGGGGGCGATTGCACGCAAGCTGTCGACATCAAAAGGACAGGGGCGAAGCCATCTTCCTTCCCTGCAGTCTCCCAGATCACGCGTACATGGGTGGCCCGATCTAGCTTCTCGACTGCGACAGAGTGATTCGCGATGTAAAACATCCCCGCCCAGGCGGCCGACTTCCAGTAGGACGTCAGCGCGGGCCTCAACCTGGAAGGGCCCCTGGCCTGAGGTCCACGTCGCAGGCGACCTGCGAGGTGGATCATTTCGAGCACTGACGAGGTGGCGACAGCACAGCGCATGCAAGACCGCTCCAGTAGCATCATTTGAGATGTAAGTGCAGTTCATATGGAGGGATCGCCGCATCTCTTTCGCAGTCTTAAAAGATACCCTTGGCGCGCGTTCTTTTACCTTCCGAGGGCGCTTTGCCTTGCGCGGCGCCGAGCCCCTAGATCGCATTGATGGGCGCAGCGATGTCGTGGCCCCCCAGTCACGAGGCAGGGGCAAGCACAAGGCGATGACGGTCCAACGAGACTGCGGCTGGAAAGCGCTCAGCGCTGGGAAGAGCTCCTGCTGCGTCGGCGCAGCGCGCAGCCACTCCGAATTCGGCGGCGCCCCGGTGGGATCGGGCCGCGCGCGCCCTCCAACCAAAACGAGGTTGCCGATGGGGGGCCCCCGCGATATCCGGGCGCGCGGCCTCTCGGTCTCGAGCGGGGTGCAGGTAATCAGCGGCGCGGGTGCCACCGCGCACTTGGGCTCGGTTGGCCGCGGCGTCCGACTGCGACCTCGATTGCGCGCATCTTGGGCGTCGTGCGCGTTCTTCCCACGCCCCATGCGCCCCCCGCGCCTGGGCCGTCCAGCTTTTGGGGCCGCCCAGCTATGCGCCGCGTTGTGCGAGCTGGGGCTTCGAGCCACACGCGCATTCCATCGGCGTAGATGTGGCCTTTGGGCCCCGCGCCTATTTCCCTGATCCTGGACAGCGCCGCGACCCGGAACAGATCGATCACGTGCTAACCCGCGACTTCTCCTAGGGCACCCTCTCGCGCGACCTTTCTGCCATGCGACTTCGAGCAGTCCTCGGCAATTGCCTCCGACCGCGCCCCCATGGGATAGCAGGTCAGCGTTCGGGCCCCCGCTGCAATTGGAATGAGGCCGCTGCGCGCGATATCTGCGGCGATATCACGCGATTCCGAGGCGCCATTGACGACTCGCTCGGCATCGATGACGGGATGTGCGGGTTTTCTGAGGATGAGGGGGCTGCCGGTCGGCCCCTTGGGCGGTTTGTCTTTTCGGGCGCGATGGCATTATGTTTGTTCATGGGGGATTCGACGCGTGATCAAGTTCTGCGGTTTCGCAGATGTGCCAGAGACCGCGCCCACGGATGCGTTGGCTGCGGTTTTGTTCGATTCGCAGGAGCGCGCTCGACGGCGGGCCCCCCTCCGCCGGCGCCGGCCCGCGGCCCGGCGCGCGCTGGCCAAGGAAACTTTCGATTCTTGGGCGCCCACAGAGAGGCGAGTGAAACAGTGGAGCTTTCAGTGCTCATCAAGGCGCGCATATCATGGCCCTTGTCCTAGCGCAGCTTCCCCATCGATGCCTTGGCTACCCCGCCCCCGACCGGCGCGAAGCTCTCCGTCGACCCTCGCGACGCGCGGCGGATTCCACGGGGCAGATCGACGGCGCGCCCTTGCCGACTTGATTGAACCTCGCGGCTGTCTCGCAGGCGCTGCGGCGCTGGTTCTGCGAGCACCGCCGAGGGCGCCTTCGCCGCGGCGCAGATCGCGGCGCGAACGACGCGGGGCCCATTGCAGCGGGCCCCTTGGCCACAGAGGGGGCGGGCTCCAAGTCGCAGCGCGGCAGTGGACCGGGTCTCCTTGGCCAATGGAGGGAGCGGACTCGCTGTTGCGACGCCCTGCTCGCTCCGCGCCTCGGCAGTGCGTCGCGCGCAACTGGCCGCGAGATTTCCGGGGGTAGCTCGCGAATGCTTGGGCCCCTCTGCGCGGTGGCGAAAGTGCTTGGGCCATGCCTCCGCGCTTCGCCCGTCTTCCTAGCGACGACCTGCCCCCCGCCCCCCGCGCCCCCCCCGTCGGCGAGCGATCTCGTCGCCGTCCGAACCTCGAGCCGCCCCCCGCCCGCCGCCCCCCTGGCGCGCCCCAGTCCTCGCGGCGAAATGCCGGCGGCAATCGCCGTGAACTCGGCGAGCTAGACCCCAAAAAACAGACCGTGCGAAACGACCGCTCGAACAAATCCAGACGCCGCGACGACGCGCCGACGACCGCGCGCTCGCCAGTCGCACTGAACGGCCGAGATGCTGGCGAGATGCCAGCGGCGGCGAGCCCGTCGAGCACACGAGTGCGAGCGGTCGTTGCGCTAGGGTCGGACTGGCAGAAGCGCGCCCCCATCTCCGCCAACGCGGCAGGTTTTCACGTTCAACGAGTCGGGCGCGCTAGCCTCAGGCGCGAAGGACATCCGAAGCATCGCCTAAGTTTTTTCGTCGAGCTCCACAGGGGTAGGGAGATGGCGCCCGCGCCCGCCGGGGTCGATCGGATTTCTCGGCGGCGGGCGTCGACTCGGGGGAACGGCTTCGACGCGCATTTAAATGATCGGAACAAAGGGATCCGCGTTCGTGGATACCGCGGGCGATTTCCACGCTAGTTCGCCCTCGCAATTCAAGCTTCCCCGACTGTCTCCCCGCGCGTTCTCAGAGGACAGGGCCGCCTCGTCGACCGCGACTTCTAGGCCACGCCCGCGCCGAGCTAGACGGGAAGGAGCGCCAAATCAAGAGGCCCCCGTTCTTGGGTTGCGCCGGCGGCATCTGGCTGCTAGCCGTCGCGCCGCTGAGGGTAATTCCGCGATAGGTGCCCGGCGCGGGCGTTCGCCTGGCTGGGCGGTGGACGGGCCAGCGCGATGCCCCGTGGATCTCGATTGCGGGTCACCAGTCTCGGTCAACGGTTTCTGATGTTTCGGCGCGACCAGAGCCCCATGTCAGCGCGATCCCCTCCAGGGTTCCCGAAATTCCAGAAGCAGGTTGCGTCTCCAAGCGCCCCGGCGTGCAACATCCGGTTCGCCCCATCGGGAACTCGGCGTCGAGTCGGCATCGAGGTCTCGGGCCACCAGACCAATTCCGAGAACGACGCATCTGCGGAAGTGGAGCCGCGAATTTGCGCTTCCCGGCGCGCGCCTGCCCGCCGCCAGACGCCCCTGACTTGCGAGGCTAGCGCGATCGGAAAGCGGCTGCGCCTTCTCCGTCGGCGCGCTCTGCCAGCCACCGCGCATAATATCGGCCTTTCCACCCGACTCGGAACCGCCGCCATGTGATTCGGGCGCTGCTTATCACCGCGGGAAGGATAGCGACGCGACGCCGCGCGCGCCCCCCCGGCGCTCGAGTTACCATCGAGCTCTCGGAGCCCCGCCCCGACCCCGCCCCCCCCGAACAAGCCGGGCCCCTCCGCGGCCCCTGGGCTGGACACGCACGGGGATTGGGAAAAAGGATCTGCGACGGCGACCACCTTGCCCATCTGAGCCGCGCGAGGGCACCCTACCTTGCACAATTGATTCGAGAATGTTGGGGTATTGTTGTTTTCTTCTTGCGAAGCAGGGTTTGGGCGGGCGCGGGCATGTCCGCGGGTTTCATAAAGAGTAAGCAGCCCAGCCGGGCCTTCCAGCCGTTCTCTTGCCGAGGCCGCAGATCCTCGAGCCCCCCCAGCATTTTGGTGGTTCTCGGCGCCGCGATTTTACATTCGAGCCCCGGGGGCGGGCGGGCGACTTGGAGTTCGCGCTACGGCTCGTCGATCAGCCAGCGGGATCTCCCAGGCGCCGGGCCGACGGCCAGACTCGCGAGGTCAGGGCGGAGCGCGCTGGTCTAAGGCGCCTCCTTCTCTGTTCTTTCGTTCATAATACTTTCAGATTTACTGCGCGCAGATTTGTCGACGTGTTGGTGACTTCTCTTTCTCGTTCTCTTTCTCGTTATTTGTTGTTATATGTATATGTCGTCCTCTCTGTGCTGTGTTTATGTTGTTTGTTCTCTCTCTCTCTCTCTGTCTTCTCTTCTCTTTTCTTCTCTTCTCTTATCTTCACTTCTCTCTCTTTCTCTCTCTCTCTCTCTCTCTATATATATATGTATCCCTCTCTCTTGTGTCTCTCTCTCTCTCTCTTTCATTTCCCCCGCCCGCTCTCGCTCTCTCTCTTCCCCTCTTCCTCTCTCTCTCTCTCTCTCTTTCTCTCTCTCTCTATGTGTTGTCCTCTTTCTCTATTTCTCTCCCTCCCTCTCTTACTCTTTATTTTTATATCCCTCCTTTGTTGTCTCTTTCTCTTTTTCTTTCTCTTGTTTTGTTTCTCTCTAGCTCTCTCTCTCTTGTTGTAGCTCTCTCTCTCTCTCTCTCTTTCTTTCCCTCTCTCTCCCTATCTCTGTCTCTCTCCGCCCTTTACCTCGCCTGGCCCCCGCCCCCCCCACCCGCTCGACCCTTTCCGCCAGCTCCGCCCGCCACTTCCCCTGCGACCGCGCCCGTGCCAAACTGTCTCCCCGCGGGGGTTCCCGCCCCAACCGTTCGCGGAGGGGTTCTCTCATGCTGACCATGCCGAAGCCGCGGCGGGGCCTTCAATTCAGGGCATCGGAACCTCCCAGGCGCCAGCACCGCAGCGCTACCGAGGAGCCCCGGCCAACATGCATCGAGGCCGCTCGGAGGCAGCGCTGGGGCGCTCGGGCCAGGACCGCAGCATTCGTGGCCTCAGCGCCCCCGCGACGCGAGTCCCTCTGATGGTAGCAGGAGCCTCTGCTCACCTGGAGGTCATGCGGAGGCCGGGCGGCCAGGCGCCGCGTCTGCCTCCGCGCGGGCCGCCAGGCCCCGCGCGGGCGCGGCGGCCCCCTGCCGCCCGCGTCGGGGGTCGCCCTGCGGCGCTGCCCTCCGCCCCGCGGATGCGCTCAGGAGTCTCTGCGCCTCGTCGCGCGCTGCGGTGAGCCGTTCCCGGTCTTCGGCGTCCCTTGTCGGGAGGTCTGGGCGTAGTTTCGCGGCGTTTTGTGGGAAGCTGACGCGACCCCCTTGTCCTGGCCCCCTCTGGCCGACATCAATGGCGCGCGGGCGCGCGCCGCCGCCGGCGCGCGGGAAGGAGACGGGGGCCCGCTTCGCCGCGTCAAGCGCGCGCGCCACCTTTGCGAATGGGGAGAGCACAGCAGCGGCAGGGTGCAAGCAAGCCAGGGTCTACGGCAATGGAACAATATAGCGAATAGCAAGCATGGACGATGATGATGCGAGGTCGAGGGTCGGCCCTCATCGGCGTTCGGGAAGTTTCGCGGCGATGCAGCGCGGGGCGCGGGACTTCGCGGGGCCTCTGCGCAGCGGCGCGGGACGTTTAACATTATTGTTTTAACTGCGGAGTGCTGCGGCACCCCGCTTGCGCAGTGCAGTATCATTGAGTGGGGGCGATCCCAGGATCCCTGGCCTGAGCGCCTTAGGAGTCAATTGGTCCACGGGCGCGAGGGGGGCGCGCGCGCGCTGAGTGCGGCGGGGGGCATTCCGGAAAAGGCCCCCTTCGCGCGCGGAGGGATTGCCCGGGGGTCTGCCCCGAAACCGTCGCGAATTACTGCGGGGGCAGTGTGTGTTTGTCTTCGCGCCCCGCAGCCCGCGTGCGACCTTCAAGTTCGCAAGCAAAACTGCTGCAGTGTCGGAGGCCGTTCGTTGACTTCGGAGGTTGGACCAAGACAGCGGCGCCCGGCCCGTCCGTCGTGGCCCGACGCGATGTCAGTTGGACGCGGGCGGGCGCCCAGGAGGATGGAGGACGAGAAGGGGGATGGGGAGGAATCACATGATCAGGGGAGCAGGAGGAGCGGGGGAGGCGGATGAAATAGGACCAGTACGGCAACGACGAGGAAGGAATCGGATGCAGAAGTGTGGCCCGGGCTGGGGCGAGAGCGCCTGTCCGAACGACGGGAGCAAAGCGCCGACCTTGAAATGTGGCCAACGCTGCAGAGAGAACCTAATCAAAGGACCGAGCAACCTTTGCTCGAAAAACAGATGCCAGCTATCGAAGTTGAATATCCCATGTGCGGAAAAACCATCGAAGACGCCTACGGCGAACCACCGCCCCCCTGCCTTCTGGAAATGCCTGCGTGGTGAAGCGTCGAGCAAAGGCGCGGCCATGCTAGGGGCCGCGTGATCCCCCAGCGCTTGGGGAAACCAAGGGGGGTAACACTGGGGAGGGGCCCTCGGCGGAAATAGTCGAGCTCACTTGGGGTGCTCTTCTCGGAGCCTCTTGAGATTTCTCGCCAGCCTTTCGGGGCTCTCATGGGCCTCCTTTGGACTCCTTGAGCCGTCTCAGGGTTCTCTCGGGCCGTCCGGCGCCTCCGGAGGCCGTCTTTGAGGCCACACTGGCGGTCGGGGAGAGAGGGGTCCGCCGAGTCCAAGGGCCAGCCTCGCGACCATCAGAGTCTCCCCCGAACGAAGTGGACGGGCAGGCGGAGGAGGGGTAGGAGGAGAAAGAGGAAGAGGAAGAGGCACAGGAACCAGAGGAGGAAGAGGAGGAGGAGGAGGAGGAGGAGGAGCACGAGAATAATGAGGGGATGGAAAAGGAGAGCGAAAGGGAAGAGGAGGAGGAGGGAGAGGAGGAGGAGGAGGAGGGAGGAGGAGGAGGAGTGGCAGGCAGAGGAGGAGGAGGAGGAGGAGGAGGAGGAGGAGGAGGAGGGGCAGGCGGAGGAGGAGGAGGGGCAGGCGGAGGAGGAGGAGGGGCAGGCGGAGGAGGAGGAGGAGGAGGAGGAGGAGGAGGAGGAGTAAGATCAGGATGAGGAGGAGGGGCGCGGGGATGCGGGAGGGGGGGCCGGGCACGCGCCCAGGCGGAGGATTTATGACGGGAGGGGAAGGCGGATAATGAGGAGGAGCAGGAGGAGGGGGAAGAGGGTGAGCAGCAGGCGCGACGAGGAGGATGACGACGCAGGATAAGGACGTGGACGGGGACGTGGACGTGGTGACGCTCCTTATTATCCTCCTCCATTTCCTCCTCGAACTCCGACTCATCCTATTCAATTTCCTCATCTTGTCTTTCCTCTCATTCTTCCTCCCCCTCCCTCCTCCCCTTCCTATCCTCCTCATCCTCCTGATCATGCTCATCCTCACTTGGGCGAGCGTGAGGGCAGGCTCCTGGCAGGGCCAAGAGGTGGCCATCAAGAAGATAAGCGGCGTGGCGCACCTGCAGGACCTCTTTTGGTGTGCGCGCGACGCCAGGAGGAGAAGGATGCCGAGCAGAGACGCCAAACGAGCGGGGGGGGGATGATGCGAATGAAGGAGCAGAGGCAGGAGGCTGTGAGGTAGATGGATGATGGGCGGCAGCGGGGGATGATCTGGGCACGTCGGGGAGCTCGACTGACCGCTGCCAATCGGGGTGACCCTTCTCGTTCCACCCGACAAAGCCACCTGGCCCACCCGAGTCGCAGGCTGGGGTCGTCGCGCGTAGGCGCGCCAGAGCACGCGAGCCCCCATCTGCCCCCACAGAGACGGGACGCACAGGAGCCGCCAGCCAATCCCTTCGACGTCAAACTCGCTCGTGACCTCTATCTGCGGCCACTTGCTAGCCCCACCCCTGCGGGTCCAATCGACGCTGGGGCATCGGAAACCCCCGCCTGGGCTGCGGACGTCCCTGGGATTCTGAGCCCCAGCTTACCTACCCCGCTTTCGCTTCGTCAAGCGGCCCGACCAGCGCAGGCCGCAGTTTGGCGTCGCTTGCTATCTCTTGGAAGCGAGGGTGGTCAAAAGCGAGGTAGGTTTGTTTGCGCCCTAGTGGTGGCTCAGTCCGTTCGGGTGCGCGAGCACCGCACGGCAAGAGCGGCAGCGCAGCCGCAGGCAGGCTGGCGGGGCTGGAGGGCAGGCCCAGGAGCAGGCGGGCTGCCCAGCGGGTTGGCGAGCGGCGGGGGCAGATCTGCGACGGAGGAGGCAACAAAAAGGCGACGGAGGAGGCAACGTGGCTGTGGAGGAGGGGGAGGAGGCGGAGGAGGAGGAGGAGAAGGAGGAGAAGGAAGAGGATAAGGAGGAGGAGGAGGAGGAGGAGGAGGAGGAGGAGGAGGAGGAGGAGGAGGAGGAGGAGGAGAGGAGGAGGAGGAGGAGGGAGGAGGAGGGAGGAGGAGGAGGAGGGGCAGAGGCAGGCAGAGGAGTAGGAGGAGGAGGAGGAGGAGGAGGAGGAGAGAGGAGGAGGAGGAGGAGGCAGGGGCAGGCGGAGGAGGAGGAGGAGGAGGAGGAGGAGGAGGAGGAGGAGGAGGAGGAGGGGAGGGGCAGGCGGAGGAGGAGGAGGAGGAGGAGGAGGAGGAGGAGGAGGAGGAGGAGGAAGAGGATAAGGAGGAGGAGGAGGAGGAGGAGGAGGAGGAGGAGGAGGAGGAGGAGGAGGGGCAGGGACAGGCGGAGGAGGAGGAGGAGGGCAGCTCCGCAGAGGCCAACGCCCTGCCGCAACGCTGGGGGGCCGAATTGTCGGTCGCCATGTACGGGGCGACGGCCCGGCAGCTGCGCAAGAGCCTCGGGGGAGACCGAGCGGCCAGCGCAGCTGCCCTCCGCGAGGCGGCGGCGGGCTGAGCTCGCGTGTGCGGCGGCGACGGCGGGCCTAACGGCAATGGGGCGCGGCCCTCCAGCGGTGGTGGAGGAGCCCTGCATATTGCTCGCGTTCCACGTGAAGATCAGTGTGGGGGCAGTGCAGAGACAAACCTGCTTGTTGCAGGAGGACGAGGTGGAGGAAGAGGAGGTGGAAGCGGAGGGTGATTCTCCTCCTCTTCTTCGTCTTCATGCGCCTCCCTTTCTCTCACCTCCCCTCCACTTCCTTGTGTTTCGGGGTGCTGCCCAAGTTGTCCCTGGCCCAAGTATCAGCTTTTCGCGCCATTTTTGGGCCTCTGGGCCCCCCGGGCCCTTGGGCCTCGCGAGGGGTGGGAGGAGGGAGATGCCGGTACACCCTTTCCTCGCCGCCACGGCTAGATGATCCTCGAAGTCCTGGCCAAAATGCAAATGCTCCGGGGAGCAGCAGCATCGATGTTTTTGTTGTCCCCCAGGAGTCGTGCCAAGCCGCAGCGAGGAGAAGTGAAGCGCCTTGAGGCGATTGGAATGAGCGAACAAACGGGACAGTTGGGTCGAAATATTGAGCGAACTGGGGGAGGGGAAGAGGAGGAGGAGGGAGAAAGAGAGAGAGAGAGAGAGAGAGAAAAAAAAAAAAAAAAAAAAAAAAAAAAGGAAACAAAACAAAGGAGAGAGAGAGAGAGAGGAAGAGAGAGACATCAGCGGGCAGAGTCCGTCCAGTCGACGGGAGTATGAGCGCCCTGCTCGGCCGCTCCACTACGAGCTGGAAGCGAAGCAACCGAAACAGGAGCCCGCAGCGCTCCAGGCGTGTGACCGACGCAGGGACGACCGACAGATATTTTGGGACGCGGCAGGCCGTCACAACGCAGCGCACTTTGCAGCGAGCGTTCGCGTTGTGTGTAGACCACGCCCACGTAAGGAATAGCGGTGGGGGACATCTCCCAGGGCAGGCAGCCTCACCCAGGGAGGACCGTGAATTTTGGGGTGAAGCGGTGGCCTTGCGGCCGCGCCTGGTGGTTGGTGCTGGCGGCAGCCGACGCCGAGGCCTCTAGCACGGCGGTGGAGGCTGCAGCGGCCTGCTGGTCTTGACGAGTGGCGTCCCAGGTGGCGGTCGAGCCCCATCTGGTATTGAAGTTCGAAGGGTTGCAAGACTCAGCGGTGGCGGCGATGTAGCCGGCGGCCATTCCTTCTACTCCGAGGTGGCCGGCTACTTTGTCTCCACGCGGAGTCTGTCAGTTCTGGCTTGGAGGTCCTGATGGACTCGGTAGCATCGTGGACCCACCTCGCGCCGGAGACTTGGTCGCAGTACTCTTGGTGCACGTCCGGGTCGTCGCCCTCCTGGGCCGGCCTGGGGATGGGCTGGGGGTTGGGGTCGCTGGACAGTTCGGCCTAAAGGTCGAGGAGGCGCGAGTCCTCTTCGAAGACGCCGCATTGGCGAGCGTGCCGTGGTAGCGCCCCACATTGTTCATTTGCGAGCATGGGCCTAGCATCGGGAGCGCCAGGTCGACGGCGAGTTCTTGTTTTTTCCCCCGTTATATTATCGGCACAGGGGTGCGCCGTCGGCCGAGACACTGGCCCGGGCGGCGCGCTGTTGCGCGCGGTCACCTCCGCGCTGGCAGTTGGAGAGGAAGCCCCGCTGCCACGGGGCGTTGCAGGCTTTGCCTTTGGTGTGGGCCAACCAGGTGGTGGCGCACATGGCGGGCACTGACGCAGGGGCCTCAGACTCCAGATCGTGGCTGGATTCGGGACGCACGCGACAGCGCCCGCAGGGTCATCGGCCCAGGGGATGCCGGCGGCCCCATCGTCCCGCATGCTGCGGAAGCGGGGCCAAGTCTAGTCGAGCTGGGCAGCAGTCTGTCAAGGCGCCCAGTTGTCCCACCTGCGCACTGGGCCTGGACGGCGCTGCGAAAGCGGTAGGCCACGCCCCCCGGCCGCTCAGGTTCCCGGCGAACTCTGGCGGCGGACCGCAAGAATGCCCTCGCGCTGCGCGATGGCGCGCAGGTCGAGCGCGCGCCCTGGGCGGCACGCCGCAGGAACCACGACGAAGGAGAGAGCTGCGCCTGGCCCGTGGACGGAGGGCGGCGAAGAGGGCCACGGCGACCCTTCGCCTTCGCTGGCGGCTCGCGGGCCGGCGCCAGCGATGCAGACGCTGGCGACGAGAGACGGCGATCTTGGCTCGCCTCCCACGACCCCCCGCAGCCGGGCCACTCGCGAGGGCCGGGCCCGGGCCTTGAAGACGCGGGCGTCTGCGGCGTCGGCAAGCTCGCGGAGCTCGGGGGCGGGGGCGACGCCGGTGCGGAGCCGGCCTCGCCGCGGGCCGGGCGCGGGGGGGCGCCCGTCGAGGAGAGGCGCCGAGACCTGGTCGAACAGGGTCGGTCTCAATGCCCGCCCGACGACCTCCTTGCCAGCCAGGATGGATCTCTTGCCCAGGAAACCGTCAAAGCGGACGGTTTGTCGCGGCGAGATGCCGAGGTCAGCGGCGGCGGGGGCCGCGGAGTTGCCGTCGTTGACAGAAGTGCGGAGCGACGGGGGGGGCACTCGGGGCTGCCCGTTTGTCCAGACGCACGCGAGCAGCTCGGCGTCGCTCAGAAACCACGGGCCGCCCTGGAGGTGGCCGCTGGCGCGGGCCAGGGGCGACGAGCGCGATCCCGCCGCGCGGATGTACAGCGCGCGGCGGGCGCGAAACGTTCGCCGCGGCGTGACCCTCTTCTGGGCCCCGGCCCGCCCGCGCTGCCCCCGTATGGCCGGTCCGTCGGGCCAACGGTGCGCGCTCCGCTCCGCTCCGCTCCCTCGTCGCCCTCGCCGTCTCCTCCAGCGCGCCGTGGCCGGGCGAGGAGATGAAGAAGGAGGTCAACGCCCTGCGCCGGCTGAGGCACCCCCGGCTCGTGCGGTTCATCGGCGGGGCGGGGTTCCTGGCGCGTCGTCGCCGCCGCTGCCGTCGCCGCCGTCGTTCTCCTTTCGGGTCGGACGAGGGGAGTCGGAGGCTTAGAGGTTGGTGCCAGCACAAATATTGGCGATGTGCCTCCAGCGAGGGAAGATGATCCCGATCTCGGTGGGGGTGACTCATACTCTTGACGCTTCGCGTACCCCCACCAGTGGCCCGGACACCCTGCTCGCCGCCTGCCTCTTCGCTCGCGGCCGCGACCAACAAAAAGTACACCCACCAGTTTTGTTCCTCCCCCCGCTGTTCCTGCCTCGGCCCTCTTCCTTTCCCTTAGCTCGTAGCTTGCATGCTGCGACCTTGACGGCGCCCGGCGTCGTCCGGAGCGCTCGCGATCAAAAAGAAATACCCCCACCAGCCAATCCAACATCAGACACCAGGCGAGTTATCCTGATCAGGGAGCGACAACAGGCAACAATGCTCCCAGAGCAGCCACAGGCTCCCCGTGCGTTTGAGAAGTGGCCTCCGCGTCGTGGCGTGCGCTTCGCGGCTCCCGTGGTTGTCCTAGCTGAGCGGTTGCCTGTCACTGGCTGCGGGTCTTTTGCTCTGGCTGCTTCTTGGGTGCTTCTTGGAGCCATGTTGGAGCCCTCTCGGATTCACTTTGGAAGCTTTGGGGGCCTATTGAAGCTCTCTTGGGCCCTCTTGGAGGCCTTGGGGGCCTTCTTGGGGACATCTTGGAAGCCATCGATCAAAGCAGAGGGGGTACTAAAGGACGCCCCTCTTGGGGCCCTCTCGCGGCGCTCTTGGGCGCTCTTGGGGCCATCCTGGGCCGCTCAGGAGGCCCTCTTGGGTCATCATGGAGCCGTCTAGGCCTCAAGAGACCATCGGAAGAGAAAAGGCGAGACGACAAACAACATTGAACAGCACAACGGCGTTGAATGATTCTGGCCTCTTGGAGGCCTCCTTGGGAGGCTCGGGGGGCACGGTAGGATCGCGTCTTGTCGACCGGCGGCGACCCCGCCGCGAGCGTTCAAGGTTGAACACCGCCAGTGGCCCAGAATCAGCCTACATGGAACGATCGTGCGATCGGAAAGCCGCCGGTCGTTCAAGATTGAACGATCGACGTGGTGTCAGAGACCAACGCCAGGGTCGTCACGACACGAACCTGCCGCACTTGGGGGACCGTCCTGGGGCAATCTGGAGGGTTCTTGGAGGCATATTGAAGGTTATCTTGTGATATCTTGAGCGATCTTGGAGGCCATCTTGGGCTCTCTGGGGTCCTCTTGGAGCCGCCTGAGGCCAACAAGGACCCTCTGACACCTCGCGGGGCGCCCACCCCAGACCGAGGAGGAGGGGGCACGGGGATGGGGACCCACCCCGAAGGGGAAGAAGACAGTTAGCGGAACGAGCTTCTTAGACCACTCACGCCCTAAAGGGCTGCTGGGGTTCACTTTCATACGGGAGGACATGACTGAGGTCAGAATTTCACGGATTCTCATGGCTAACGTACCAGAAATGGCGTTTGCGAGCGATGCAGGGTTGTCAGGCCGCAACAGTTACATTGATTCGCGGCGTTGAATCCCAGGAGCGGAGTTCTGGCACAGTTCAGGATCGTCAAGACGCAGCATTACAGTTGATTCGTGGCGTTCAAGTCCGAAGGATGATGCTCTCGCACGGTTCAGGATTTTCAAACGGCTGTCTCCCAACGGGACACTTCCCACAGTGGAAATGAGTCTTTCTAGCGGCCTATGAAGAGGGCGCTCGGAGGGAGGATCCGTTGTAACATCGTTGATGAGTCTTGGGTTAACACTGGTCCTCCTCCTCCTTCTCCTCCTCCTCCTCCTCCTCCTCCTCCTCCTCCTCCCCCTCCCCCTCCCCCTCCCTCCTCCTCCTCCTCCACCAAATCAGCATTCCAACAACCAACTTTTAGCATCCGACTCTCGACTTCTACCTCCACGAATCGACCTCCACCCTCCACCAGCACAACATCCCGACCTCGAATTTCTAACCTCCGACTTCCCGTTTCCACCGCCAATCGACCTCCAGCATATGTGCCTTCGGCTGCGCGTGTATCTGCGCCCTGAGTGGTATCTGAAGGATGTGACTGGATTGGAATTCCGAGGCGTCCAACTCGTTCGTGTTTGGCTTGGGCTTCGCGGTTACAGAAAGGACGATGACATCCACGGGATTCTCCGACAGGTTCATGCCACAGACACTACGACTTCAACGAAACTACGTCACTACATCGGGTTACAACAGAGGAATGGGAAAAATTAGAACATCAACATGTGAGGTACGCATTATCCTGAGCAAGCCTCCGACACGCGCTGCCTCTCATGCGAGGCCATGGCCTCACCCGCCTCGCCCTTAAGGGGCCCGGGCGCATGCCCGCACAGGCGATCCGATCCGATCCGATCCGATCCCTCCTGAGGCTCACTGTGTTGCTCCTTGGGCTCGTCCCCCGCAGGCCAGCCATCGCCCCTCGATCCTCGAAGGAGACGGCGACGACGACACACGACGAGGACGACGACGAACGAAGACGCTCGATCGACGACGAATGGCGAGGACGACGACCAATGACGACGCTCGATCGATCGACGAGGACGACGGCCAGGACGACCAACGACGACGAGGACGGGGGCGGCGCAGGCGCGTGCGTCCAGCCGC